TTAAAATACAAATCCAGTCAGCAAAAATGTATGCGGTTTACGTGGTCTGGTTGTAACAGCTTTGAATTTAATTATTAAATTAAATAAAGCATATCGTTGCTTGTTCAATTTAGTAAAATTCGTATTTAATAAATAAATTGTGTGACGAATTACTGTTTAAAAGCTACAATTTAATTACTTATTATGTAGACGATGAAACACGTGGAACGTGTGGGATATCGAGGTTTTTCTGAAAGCCAGAAAAGCGCGGGTGAAGTATCCAAATTATTTAACATTATATTGTATGTTTGTTTAAAATTTTTATTTAGTTGTCTTTTTCTTGTAGCCTACAATCCTAGGATTGGTTGGACGCAATCCTCCACCCTTTCGTCTAAGCCTCTGTCGTCCTATCCCTTATTGTTTCTAGATCCCTTTCCCTTTCTGCTAGTACCTATTACATCCGCGTATCTCAGCATATGTATTGTTTCGCCCTGCACTTTGACCCCTAAGTTAAAATCCTGCTTTAGTCTATTTATGGCTTTCTCTATGCGAAGGTGAAATATTGCCGGCGACAAAACACAGCTTTTTCTAACCCCCTCTTCACCTTGGCCTCCGCCTCCTCGCCCTCTACGTTAATCACCGTTCTCTGTTCCTTGTAAAGATTGTAAATTACCCTCCTATCTTTATATGCTATCCCTGCCTCCTTCATCATCCTAAATAAAGTGTTCAAATTGACCCTATCGAATGCTTTTTCTCTTTCGTTTATCACTAAATCACCAAAATCTTTGGTTTGGGTTCGCTTATCATTCATAAAACATATACAAATCTGCTCACAGAATAAACTCCCATAGGTCAACCTCTTCAGGAATGTTAAATTGACTTTGAACATAAAATTTTCATATAAAATACGCAAAAACGGTCGACTCCTAATTTTATACAATGCAAAAGATTCAATTAACTTACATTTATCGATGCGTCAAGGTTTTCTCCAATCGCCAGTTAATTCTCTCCATTTGAAAAGTAGCCGCAATTTGGAAAATTGGATAGTGGAACGGCATATGCAATACAATTGAGCACATGGTAAATTTGACTGCTTGTTGAAAATTTTGAGAGGATCAGGATGAAACTGGGTTTCAGGTTTCTTTAAATTTAGTAGTTGAACTTTTGTTTATTTACTGGAATAATTTACCAATGCTCCGAAAGAGGGAAATCTCAATTTCTCCTTCTACTTAGGGTTTTAACAGCCAGCAAAAGCCCGAATTAACCGTCTCTAAACTTTTTACCGGCTACCGGTTAAATTACAATCTTATTATTGCACCATATAAACAAAATAGGCGCACAAATTTCATTAATAAACTTGTTTTGATTGTAACTAGTCACTCACTTGAAATACAGCGCAATGAACGTTACGCACCATGAACCACAACGTTTTCGTGGTAAAAATTTACTGTACGCTTCAATAAAGCAACGAAACAAAAATAGTAGCGTACGTATTAAGGAAATAACGTATTCGCATTTGACTTTTTTGTGATCTTAATCAAGGTACATCATTTTCGTAGTTAAAATTTTTCGCTATGGTGCTTACTTTTCTCTCGCATAAAAACGGCAATGGACCTTTTGTAGAGTTTTTTATGCCACATTATCCAGTGTATTAAAAAAATTAAAAACGTTACTTTCAAGCCGTTATGGCTCTTTTAAACTTGTGACACTTTTTTGGGGTCTGTGGGATTCAAAACTTCCAGAAAACGCAATATTGGCATATCGAAAATCTATCACGATTTCAATATTTTCCTTTATACAGCCGGCCGGTCGATTCCGCTACACGACGAAGTCCTCTTTTTGCATAAATACGCCGATTGTTCTTAGTTAGACAACTCGCAATGA